GCCATTGTCAAAGCGCCCGTGGCTGCGGCACCCGGCGGACAATCGGCTCAGCTGCCGGGTTGCCGAGTCGCCGGGCCGCCGGATACCGGGAGGAAAAATATGGCATTTTCTTATTTATTTTTTCAGGCTGTTTTCGCATATTTTTTGCGACCAAAAAGTTCCAAATTTCTCTCGTGCAATAGAGTGTGTTGTATATAGACCATTAGGAATGAAGCGGATATGTCCCTCGCGCCGCCAGCAGTTCGATTTTACTCCCTCGTGGTCGGGGGTGTTCGAGTCTACGCGCGCTTCAGTCGCGTTTCGCTTCGTTCAAAACGACTCTCGAAGCGGTTGTGAATCGGTTTTGTGCGCGAACTTTGAACACCCTTACTGTTGAAACAATCCACGCACCGAGTGGTCTCGGCCCCGGGGTCCTGAGAAACACTACCATACGCGGCAGTTAGACCAAACACGTGTAGCGCCCAATTTCTGCGCTGCAGGTGAGTTCAAACTTCACCGAGGCTCACCATCGTTGTAAACGCGGGAAACAAGTAGTCTTGCAAGCCGGCCGTTCTCAGGCTGGTACACCCGGAAGGATCCCGGTGTAATCCGTGTCGGACTTCGTAAAAGGAGCTCTACCAGAAGGACCGCACTTCGCTTTTGCGGAGTCCACCGCAGTCTCGCTCGGCTTGTTCCAAGCGCTGGTAGGAACATTGGCTGCACTTTAACGATACTGTAGCAGCTGAGACTGATGCGGAGATAGGTACAGTACCTCGAGAGGCTTGGCGACACGTAGTGCCATCTGGATTATCCGATATCACAACATTACAGTCCCATTGTCCCACCTTCAAAGCTTCATTTTGGTATATGCTTCCGCGCCGATCTCAACGACCCCCTGCCTCGTCCACTTCCGTGGTGAAGGCATCCTACTGGCGTCAGGGCTCGTCGCTCCAACGACCCTGAAGCGCAACTCCAGTGCTGCCCAGCTGATTCGATGATGTTCTGAATTGCGATACCGGCCGTGCAGTGACAGGCCTCTTCCGGATGATGCTGATCTCGTCATTGATGGTGATCATAAACTTGTAGATGACAAGGGCTGGGGGACAGGTACTGTGAGCGGCGCATTGAGAAGCGAAAGACACACTTGCACGAGGCACTGACAGCTAGAAAGTGATACTGTTGGGCGAAGCTAAACAACAGACTGTATAAAGATTGACTCGCCAAGTGCGAATGGAGGTGGTGCTTTCAATAGCGTGTAGACTGTAAGAGCCTGGTTCAAGTTTTGTCCCGACATACTAGCAATGAATATGATAGGTAACTGTATCATTGAAAGCAGGCCATTATTCTCTGCACACTGAATTATGGGAAACTTAGCCAGTCATCTATCAGCACAGGCTTTGGGCCTATCACATAAGCACAGTGAAAGGACAGAATGAGCAGCCACAGCGCTCGTGGAACGGAGCACATTATACCGAAAGATCAAGCTGGTGGGGTTGGCATGTCAACCCGAAGCCAATGGAAGCCAGCAAAATGGGCTTGGCATCCAAAAATTTGTGGCCAGTGTGGGGTATGTTAATGTTGCTCAAAGTCGACCGCATGAGTCCAGTGCACAGCTGACAGTAAACGGTACTTGCAGGCATACACTATGGATAGAGTGAATAGCAAGAATGATAGACAACCCAGAGAGTTTTTAGAATTGATGCTCAAAAATTCTGCGGTCGCTGGTAAACAGGGAAGTGGACACCATGCCAGGTACAAATAAACGAACCCTCGGAGGGATGCTCTTGGATTCCATTCTAGGCACGGCTGCGCGTCAGAGGACAGGAGCATATCATAATCTGGAGTTCTAGCCAGCCGACACCAAATGGAGACAACGAATTGGCGGAAAAGTGTAAGCCCAGTGATTGTTTATGTGTCTGTATAGAAAGTTTGGGATAACGGGTATTACTGGCAAAAGACATGACCTAAAGCTAGTCAGAACAGCTACAAGTGCGACCCATCACAAAGTCTGTGGAACAAGCCTGTCCTTACATCAGGAAAAAGACTTAGGTCCACAATGCTACAGAGTGCTACAGGAGCATTTTGGAGCACTATGGGCCCAAGTCCTGTTTCCTGATGTACCAGGCTTTTTGTGGCGAAAGGGATCCCCAATGCGCGCAAAGCGTGGTGCGGCAAATTTAGGACTTTTGAGGGGCTGTTTTTGTGGGCATGAATCTGTGATGTGGATACAAATACAAGTAAGCTAGTGCCTGGACACAAACCGGCCAAAGTGAGGGTTTTAGTATTGGACCTCTTCTGGGAAGACGAACCTGACGGCACATACTCATCACTCGACTATTCCACATTGACGCCGCGCATATCACTTGATTCCCGCATATAAATGCCTGACATCCCACTGGTAGCTCAAACTTGTGCTGCCCTGGTCCGATTGCACTCTCCGGAGTCTAGTCAGCTCTGCACATTCGTTGGAGGGACGGAGGCTTGATCCTTTCGTTGCTTCTAATTTTTGAGAAGCCACAAACGGTCCGTGGGCCTATAGCACTACATAAAGAGACGCCCTTGAACATGCATGCGCGGCCGAAAGAACTCGGCCATCGAGGGCGCATGTAACGGAGAGTGGTCCGGACCCGCTGGCAACGCACCAAGCTGATGTCATGGTATTTGTTTCTTGTCGGGCGTGATGAGTCCGAATAGTTTGCGGAAGATGGTTGTGGCAAAGAGTCGTCACGAGGTCGGGCAGAGAATTTTGTGGCTGAAAGACGCCACATCGGAGACGGTGCCGAGCGGGGCAGAAGTGTAAATGACATAGCATGCTCACAACCTTTTTCCACAATTACATGATGCGAACAGCCCCGTCCGACATATGGGGTATAAGGAGCATGCTGTAAGGAGTATAACATCTGATCCCTCAGCATTCAAAACTGGAACACAAAGCGAGGAGCGCCAGAAGGCAGTTCGAGGCTGGAAGGGAT